GACGGCAGACGTCGGGCGCCGACGCCGACGCCGCCACCAGTATCGTTGCCGCCGCCGTCGTCTTTTGTGTTCGCAGCTTTGGGCACCGTGACTCAAGGCTCAGGCTCCGCTTAACAAAGGACTCGCAGACTAAATAAAAACAACCCCCGTTTCGTGGCACAGTTAACAGCTTCAACTTTTAAGTAGTTTTGATGAAATGACCACTAAATACGTCCCAAGAAAATAAATCAGAATCGTTTTCTTAATAAATCATACAGCACCTGATGTTATTTTTACATTTCCGTTTCGCAAAATATCAACAGCATCAAATATCATCTTTTATTGCCAGCGTATTCCGATAGTCGGTTTATGTTTGACATTTTCAAAATGATAAATGCATATTACTACAGTTTGTTTTATACACACGCTATAATTTTTTTCTTGGTTTGGGTGCCAGCGTGACATAAAATCACTTTCATATACACATAGGGCGTGAAATTAACGTCGCAACGGTGCGACTTAGCGAATGCAAATTTACGCGGGATTTATGCCGGGAAAATCATGAAAATTACTTAATCCAAGTCATATCGCCGGCCACTTACTTTCCCGTGAACAATGTACGGGGTGCAATTAAAGTTATTAATATCGCTCGACGGGGTTATTAAGGTCTACCCCTTAACGGTACTCGAATAAATAAAGCTCGACTAATTGTTATTTAATTCACTTTGCCCGTTTAGTGTGGGTCATAAATAATTTCTTTAAAATTTGATTAGATTTTGTAATAGTGAAATGCCGCAAGGGTATTGATGTGATTATATTGGGATTAAATTGGTGCACTAAATCCATCAATTAGCAATATTCTATGACTGATTTATACGCGCGATATCGCGCAACTATTACAATGGCCAACAAGTGTTCTTGATGCATAACATTGTGCGGTTGTGATATATGTACAAAAGCGCGGGTATATTAACAATGTATCAAATATAGTAATAGATTAGAGTGGCGGGCGGCGACGTCGGGGATTATGTAGACAGGGGGGTGGAGGCCGCCGACCGCAACCCTTATTAATTGGTCATCCTGCGAGCAGCAGGAACTAATAATTAATGTCAATTAATTCCAGTAATTAGGTTTAACATTGCGACCGTGTTAGCGCGCGTATTGCAACACGCCATTATCCCGGGGCCGCATGTGTGTCCTACTGCCCGAAAATCGAAACCTCTCTCTCGCTGTGTATGACAACCGTAATAATCACACGTCTGCCATTCCGTCTGCCACGACATATTTGCCGTATGTAGCCCTATTAATGTCTAACTCACATTAATGTACTCTGATTCCCTTTAATTGATCTACTATATACGATTAATTTACAGTTAAATCGAAAATTATATCTTTTTATTATTTCAGTGTGTTAATTAATTATCGTACTCGACGTTATCATTGCAGATATGCAACCAATACTGTGATATTGTAAGTATACAACCAATACTGTGATATTGGTTGCATACACGGCATAATAATTATATTTAAAGAAATTCCACAACCGTTTTTCTGGTCATTTATGGAAATAAATAATAAGTTAGAAGAAAAAAATATATTACTTCACCTGATTAAGTAAAATTTTATAATAAATTAAGAAATAAAATGTTAATTTGATGTAATTTTTTTTAGAAATATGTATATCAGAATCAATCCAATTACATTAGGTAATAAAAATAGGTAATAAATTGAGGGGTTGAAATTTAACGATTTCATGGTCTGAACACCCTTTTATATTTAACAGACAGAGGAGGAGGATGTAAATCCTTTGGGATTTGTGTAGCGACTTGTGGCGCTCCTTAGTCGTCCGCCGGAATTATGCATTCGTAATAGAGCGCCAGGACGGCAACAGGAATAAAGTATCCTGCGGGCCGGGATTTACGGCCCGCGGGTGTGTGCAACAGAAAAACAATGTATAAATTACGGGCACAAAATCAACTGTATTCGTGCGCGTTCGTCTTCGGGCTTCCGGGGAGATTAATGTACAGAAAATAATTGCCTTTGTCTCGGAACTTGGGAAATTTCGAAGTGAAAAATAAACTGCGCTGCGTCTGCGAATATAACGGCCACTTTATTCGGTCGCTCAGAAGTTATTATTTCACTTCGCCGTTTAGATTTTTACAAAAAAAAAGAAAAATAAAAATAAATGTAAGAGAGGAAAGAAAAAATTGGGTATGGTAATGAGAAACAATGGGAGTAGGGGGATAATCGATTGAGGAACAACGCGAATTAATCACTCGTATAAAAATGTCATGAAATATACATGTGACGCGAGTCGTTTATATCGTTTCGGTTTTTTGACGGAACACCATTTGTTCTGATCGGACAAACAGAAACAGGGAGCCCCCTATTTTATCGTTTTCCCAATTTCACAACATGAAAAATGACTAAAAACCTAAGAAATGCTTATCTAATTACTAAATACTGATAAGAGTTACAACGTGAATTATGGTTGAAGAGCTAAGAAGTGTTTGTCTAATTACTTAAAAGAGTAAAATCCAGTTTGAGAGGGAGGCTCGTTGTGTCCACTCAAGGGAGCTTTCTTTTCTTCCGTCCGGAGATTAAGAGTAATTAGGTTGTTTGCGAAACGGGAAGGGTAAAAAATCCCGCTTAGCGTTAAAAGTAACAAATCGCCTTTGTTTTTTGATGAGATCTGGACCAACTCGACGACAGCGAGTCTATCGACGCTGACAGATCCGGCAAACGAAATTAAGTTAATGGAAACCGGGCGAGTGACACCTGACGCTATTCTCGTCTCGAAAATTGGATTGAGGGACGATAATTGCGTGCAACTTTGTAATGCGCATGCTCCGATCGAGGGTGATAGATAAAAATTTAACCCTCTGTGTGCCTATAATAAAATTCCACGATTCAATAAGGAATAAAAATAAAAAAAGAAAATACATATAAGCAAGCAGATTTTGCTTTGGCCCTCGCTTAAATTCGTTATAAGCAATAAAGAGGTTTATACGATCGGGGTTTGAATAAATCGATAGTAAATCATGCCTTCAACTTTTACTATCCGAATTTTAGTACCCGAAGGGCAGTTGCCCTACAATCCTAATCTATCCCGCACTCATGAGAAGAGTGTGAAGGCCTAAACAATCCAATTTAAACTTGATTGCGGACCTTATCCGTTTCCCCCCTCTTTCACTTATTGTATTTTTTATAGCATTCGCCATCTTAGATTAGGACCATCGTCCCGCACCCTGGAGGTTTGAATATTCTCCCGTCATATCTTACCTCATATTTGCATATCTCTACGCGCAACTTATCTCGAAATTTTCGCCGTCCCGCTTATGCTTTCCATTATCTTCCATTCGGCGACGACCCATTCATCCCGATCCCCCCCTTTTTTTTTTCCTCGAACGAACCGGCTCCGTATGAATATTTTATTATTTCCATAAGGAGATTTATTAAATACTTACGACGGTAAATGTGAGATTTGATAAATATCATTTCCGGGGGCGCATTAAAAACATCAAAGAACTTACTCGGGGTTCACAAAGGAATAAGATCTGATTTGTTACGTTCATATACTTACCGTATCCGCTACTTTAATTTAATAGAAATGTTTCCTTTCATGGGAAATTCCAATCTTAATAACCTATATATATTAATATATAAAATATTATAAATAAATATATATTAATAATCTAACGTTGAATAACAACTAAAACAAGAAATAATATTAGCATTAGAACTAACAATACACCTAAAACTAGAAATTAAGCGTATGTCTCTTAAGACGGCTAAACCCGAATGTTCCTAGTTTTAGATTTAGTGTGTTTAATGACAGTGCTTGTGTTAGATCACTAGAATCAACACAAGACCTAGAAGTAGAAGCATTCGGGATTAGCCGAACGTCTCTTAAGACGGCTAATCCCAAATGCTTCTAGTTCTAGGTCTTGTGTTGCTTCTAATGACAGTGATGTAACATTAGCACTGTCACTAGAACCATCACTAGAATCAACACAAGACCTAGAACTAGAAGCATTCGGGATTAGCCGAACGTCTCTTAAGACGGCTAATCCCGAATGCTTCTAGTTCTAGGTCTAGTGTTGGTTCTAGGGATAGTTCTAATATTACATCACTGTCACTAGAAGCAACACAAGACCTAGAACTAGAAGCATTCGGGATAAGCCGTCTTAAGAGACGTTCGGCTAATCCCGAATGCTTCTAGTTCTAGGTCTTGTGTTGATTCTAGTTATCTAACACTAGCATTGTCATTAGAACCAACACTATACCTAGAACTAGAAGCATTCGGGATTAGCCGTCTTAAGAGACATTCGGCTAATCCCGAATGCTTCTAGTTCTAGGTTTAGTGTTGGTTCTAGTGACAGTGCTGATATTGGATCACTAGAACCAACACTAGACCTAGAACTAGAAGCATTCGGGTTTAGCCGTCTTTTTAGACGTACGGCTAAACCCAAATGTTTCTAGTTCTAGGTCTAGTGTTAGTTCTACTTAAAGTTAAATAAAAATATACAACAATCTAGCACTGAATAACATATATACATAACATATATATAATTAAAAAAATTAAAATAATTGATAAAGTAATGTAATATTTTTAGATGTTAAAAGTATTTATTAAAGGTAAAAGTATATTTATATCCAACCCCTATAATATATAACCCCGTCCCTTGACGATGGGGTACAAAAAAAAAGAGCAAGTCACACGTCTATTCACGACATGCAAATGCGAGGATGATAACAGACAAGTAATTTTATTTTCTGCCTTTTGATAAATCGCCTCGCTATTTACTTTACATAACTACATGGTGAACGCGTTGATGGATCCCCGAAACTTACGTTGATGTATCGACAAAATAAATTTAAAAGTCTATAGGGGTCATAATATTGTCACCGGGCTCATGTAGGAAAACCTGTTTTCTTGAACTTGTTTTCATTTTCATTTTTATCCTTCTTTGATCGTGAGATACCAGTGTTTTGTTAAAAGTGTCGTTGATTTGTTGCAGGTAAAATGCCGAAAAAAATTCGCGTGGCAAAAATCCCGGTTAGTTCGCCGTGGTTGGAAAAGTGGTCTAGATGTCAAACGGATGTGAGAGTGCCGGAAGCTTGTTTACAACAAACTCCACCAACGATAAAGTACAAGAAAGATGTGGGAACGCAAACTCCACCTTCATTGTTGTATATGGCTTTTGCGGAAGAAACTAAAAAGGGTGAGTCATTTTTAACAATTATTACGCGAGCATACATACTCGATAAAGTTCGATTATTTGAAAATTGCCGTTGAATAAAATAACAATATATCGAATTAGATCCTCGAAATAAAGTTTAATACTTGAGTTTTCCATAAAAAAAAATTTTACCCCCACGATGCACATGAGGCGTGTAAAATTGGCGTCGCGTTGAGGGCCATCGATGACTGCCGCAGGCTCGCGGCTTCTTCGTCGCCCCTTACAGATGTCCCCGTAAATGGAGACGCCGTTCCCACTCGATGGTCAGTCGACCCGACGAATAATAATGCCGAGGGGACACTTCGACAATTCAATTTCGGACCGGTGATAGATCTCGGGGTAATGTGAAATTGATATGACGCGCGCAAAAAATGTTTTTTATAGTTTGATTTAAGAAGTTTATTCTCCCCACTGTCCACGTTTCCATCGTAAATCCCTTTTTTTTCAATCCATTGGGACCCAATTCAAAACGGTTGCGTGTTTCTAAGGGCACTATCATTTCTTTATAGCAACCACAAATTTTAAAATTGATAGAGATGAATTAAAAAAAAAAACTTCAAAGCAAATGGTGTATTAATTATTAAAATTTTGAAAAGAATGTTGTTTCTGGATTATGGTTCTAGTGACAGTGCTAATGTTACATCACTGTCACTAGAATCAACACAAGACCTACAACTAGAGGCATTCGGGATTAGCCGAACGTCTCTTAAGACGGCTAATCTCGAATGCTTCTAGTTCTAGGTCTTGTGTTGCTTTTAGTGACAGTGATGTAACATTAGCACTGTCACGAGAACCATGACTAGAATCAACACAAGACCAAGAACTAGAGGCATTCGGGATTAGCCGAACGTCTCTTAAGACGGCTAAACTCGAATGCTTCTAGTTCTAGGTCTAGTGTTGGTTCTAGTAATGTTACATCACTGTCACTAGAAGCAACACAAGACCTAGAACTAGAAGCATTCGGGATTAGCCGTCTTAAGAGACGTTCGGCTAATCCCGAATGCTTCTAGTTCTACGTCTTGTGTTGCTTCTAGTGACAGTAATGTAACATTACTAGAACCAACACTAGACCTAGAACTAGAAGCATTCAAGTTTAGCCGTCTTAAGAGACGTTCGGCTAAACCCGAATGATTCTAGTTCTAGGTCTTGTGTTGATTCTAGTGACAGTGATGTAACATTAGCACTATCACGAGAACCAACACTAGACCTAGAACTAGGAGCATTCGGGTTTAGCCGTCTTAAGAGACGTTCGGCTAATCCCGAATGCTTCTAGTTCTAGGTCTTGTGTTGGTTCTAGTGACAGTGCTAATATTAGATCACTAGAATCAACACAAGACCAAGAACTAGAGGCATTCGGGATTAGCCGAACGTCTCTTAAGACGGCTAATCTCGAATGCTTCTAGTTCTACGTCTTGTGTTGCTTCTAGTGACAGTGATGTAACATTAGTAGAACCAACACTAGACCTAGAACTAGAAGTATTCGGGTTTAGCCGTCTTAAGAGACGTTCGGCTAAACCCGAATGCTTCTAGTTCTAGGTCTAGTGTTGGTTCTCGTGACAGTGCTAATATTACATCACTGTCACTAGAATCAACGTCTTAAGAGACGTTCGGCTAATCCCGAATGCTTCTAGTTCTACGTCTTGTGTTGCTTCTAGTGACAGTAATGTAACATTACTAGAACCAACACTAGACCTAGAACTAGAAGCATTCAAGTTTAGCCGTCTTAAGAGACGTTCGGCTAAACCCGAATGATTCTAGTTCTAGGTCTTGTGTTGATTCTAGTGACAGTGATGTAACATTAGCACTGTCACGAGAACCAACACTAGACCTAGAACTAGGAGCATTCGGGTTTAGCCGTCTTAAGAGACGTTCGGCTAATCCCGAATGCTTCTAGTTCTAGGTCTTGTGTTGGTTCTAGTGACAGTGCTAATATTAGATCACTAGAATCAACACAAGACCAAGAACTAGAGGCATTCGGGATTAGCCGAACGTCTCTTAAGACGGCTAATCTCGAATGCTTCTAGTTCTACGTCTTGTGTTGCTTCTAGTGACAGTGATGTAACATTAGTAGAACCAACACTAGACCTAGAACTAGAAGCATTCAAGTTTAGCCGTCTTAAGAGACGTTCGGCTAAACCCGAATGATTCTAGTTCTAGGTCTTGTGTTGATTCTAGTGACAGTGATGTAACATTAGCACTATCACGAGAACCAACACTAGACCTAGAACTAGGAGCATTCGGGTTTAGCCGTCTTAAGAGACGTTCGGCTAATCCCGAATGCTTCTAGTTCTAGGTCTTGTGTTGGTTCTAGTGACAGTGCTAATATTAGATCACTAGAATCAACACAAGACCAAGAACTAGAGGCATTCGGGATTAGTCGAACGTCTCTTAAGACGGCTAATCTCGAATGATTCTAGTTCTAGGTCTTGTGTTGCTTCTAGTGACAGTGATGTAACATTACTAGAACATTACTAGAAGCATCGGGATTAGCCGTCTTAAGAGACGTTCGGCTAAACCCGAATGATTTTAGTTCTAGGTATCACATAGACATATATAGATATTTCGACAATTCAATTTCGGACCGGTGATAGATCTCGGGGTAATGTGAAATTGATATGACGCGCGCAAAAAATGTTTTTTATAGTTTGATTTAAGAAGTTTATTCTCCCCACTGTCCACGTTTCCATCGTAAATCCCTTTTTTTTTCAATCCATTGGGACCCAATTCAAAACGGTTCACTATTATTTCTTTATAGCAACCACCATTTTTAAAATTGATAGAGATGAATAAAAAAAACTTCAAAGGAAATGGTGTATTAATTATAAAGGTTTTGAAAAGAATGTTGTTTCTTTGAGATTTGGAAGTTTTGGAGGGTTGGGAGAAAAATTCGATTGTCTCCAATTCTAGAATAATTTTTCACTTGATGCTCTTGGTATTGTCGGTTGGGTGGATAGTCGCTAGTCTCAGGGAGTTTTTTGTACTTTGCGAACATTCTTTACGAGCTGAAAGTCAGTGGTAAAAACCTTCCGGGATCCAAGAAACATTGATGCAATTTCCTGGAAAACTGGAATTATTCGCTCGTAAATCCAGCTCCGGGCCGACTTTTCATATTTCAAGGAAGAGTCCGAATTCTTTTCGTGCCATTAAAATGATTAAAACTTTTATCGGGGCGTACCTCGGATTTGCATAATTCTTATATTTAGGAGTTCGCCATAATGCGCTCTCGCCGGGCGATAAAGATCCTTCTCCATTAACATCCGGGCGTTTCGCTTCGCGATTTTTCATATATTTAAAAACCCGGTTGAAAAGGACCCTCGAGAAGACGCTCAAGAAGCAAAGGACGCGCAAATAATTGTCGTCGTCTCGGGAGGTGGAAATTCCGGAGTCGCAGATCCTTTGTCAAGCGCCAAATCCGAGTTTCGTCGGGTTACATTTTAACAGGTCCGTCGAAAAAAGAAACCCTTTTTTTGCCCTCAAAGGAAACAATACGTGAGCAAACAGGCTTCGCCAGGCGCCTCGATATCCTGATGAAAGCTCGAGACGTGCCACCTCCACGATCGTCGTCTAATCTCCTCCCTCGTCCAACACAAACACGCACGGATTCTCTTACGTCCTGCCATATTGGGAATTCCTGTAATCCGATATCAGCCAGGATTGAGTTAGGGAGAAAGGACACCGGCCAAACGAAAAATACTGTTAGGAACCCCAATTAAATTACTGAAGGACCAACATCTAACGAAATTTTCTCTGACAACAATATCAACTACCTGAGATCCACGCAAAAGAACTCTTCGCGAGATTCATTGGAGTCGATTTACTGGGGTCCGTCCTACAGCATAATAAAGCGATCTTCGGATGTAATGAATAGAGGAGCATTAGAAGAAGCAAACACGCTCTTCAGAGTCTCCAGTCTGGGTTGTATATAGCCGTCATCAGACAAATGCGCCCATTTTTCCGAGGACAAAGATCGGGGGTGAATCCACTTAGGAATCTCCGTGTAAAAAACCGACTTGCGATAAATTCTCCGAAACAACGATCCGGCAATTGGTGTGAAATTCATTTGTCCCCGGCCTTAATCAATCCTCATACTCGCACAAAGATCTTGCCCCAGACTCAATCTGCACCGTTATTGTGATCCCGACAAAAGTCGTCGAGGAGGAGATGACAAATGGCACAGATTACGGCCTAGACGACGCTAGGCGTCGGGACGCCGTGCGCGCGGAAGCTATCTATCATAAACCACCTAAACCGACCAGATTTGCCCCAAAACTTTACTCCCTTTCCTACCGGCAACAATAAATCATCACGACCCAACAACTATTTTGTCCAATTTGTAATTTACAGTTTTCACGTATCCAATACACAACATCTTCTACAATTTCTTATTTCTTATTTTGAAATTAGAAAACGGAAATTACACGAAACTTTTGACTGTTAATACTTCGGAAATTCAATTAGTGACGGTTACGAAGATAAATCCATTAAAAACTGACCATCCGATGTGCCTAATCAAATAGGCAACGGTCTAACGCTCGGGCATCAGCCGCGGGCGGTTGGAAAAGCGTTTTCGGTCCGAGTCGGCAGGAATACATCGTTAATTTTTGGGCGGCCCCGTTTAATTAAATGCCCGGTCATCAAAATTGCATAACGCGGGCGTCGGGGCGCCGGGGACGTGTACGTCTGTCGAACTGTGTTGAATACTAGATGAACGCGCCAGCCCGAAAATTTACTGATGCAACATGGTTCTACAGAAATACGGGTTCATGGTAAACAGGAAAACGTAATTACCATACAATCATTATTACAGATTCATCTTGGACTATGTTATAGATAGACATTATATACCTCAATTACATTTCTTTTTTGGGCTTTGGTTAAATTTTTTTTATTATAATTATTTTAGAATATTTTGTCGAACCTAACCTCCATGACCTTGGTATATAGCAATAACCGAGGTTGCTTGCATGCGAAGTGCTACATTT